TCACGTCCCTGTCTTCAACTTGGTCACCTCAGCCGACACGTAAGATCCGTCGCAGATATTGTTGATAAAATCGCTCTAGACATCTGACATCCGTCTTGTAGTGGAAAAGGACTACACAAAATGGCTAAGGAAAAACTCAGTCAGTTATGAAAGTCTATCCTTAGTCCGGTTAGTTCTAAGTCTTCCAAATGTCCGAAACTGGCCATATGCCTCGATAATAACGCAATCCGAGTCAGTAACGATTTTGCTCACCAGACACCGAGCAACCGCGCCGAACGAAATTCGAAGAATTATTGTATCGATTCAGCTGATTAAAACAACTGTAAAATAAATAGAACATGGAACAATAAAGTACAATTGAAAATGAAGAAGTTTACAAGCGCTACAGTCAGGTACATCGCCCACGTTTCGCTGCCTCATAGAAGAATGGATATCGCCACAGATGTGTATACCAACAGCTTCGTTCCAACGGTAATTCGATGATTGTCCCACACACGTTTCTCCAGTTTGCCAAGCGCAGCAACTACCTTCGATACGCACATGCGCAACCCGCTCGTACTCTGCAGGTCGGTTGATGTTACGCTCCCAAGGTAGCGAAATTTCGATGCTGTTTTCAACACATCAGCAACTTGGATTTGGACACGCCCATTACTCCGTTCCTGTTGAAGGCTGAAAAAGACAGACAGCCTTGCCTGTGTTGATAGTGAGTTCGTACTTTGCTGCTGTCGAATCGAGAGCCGAAGTCGCGTGCTGCAACTCATCCGCGCTGTGCTAAAACAACGCACAATCGTCGGAGTACATGGATCACCTCTGCAAATTTCTTATAATTTAGCTGGAGCTTACTGGTATATTTCTACATACCCTTTGGTCGTGGACTAGGCCGTATTTACAACGAATTTGGCCGACATACAAATACCGCTGGTATACCGGGTTACTGGGTTTTCTTCCTATTAGCAGTTGGCCACGCGCAACTCGGATTCACCTTTTAAAGAACGTTGGTACACCGGACTCCCTCATCTTTACTGAAGCTTCCAATGCACAGTGCGACTTAGTAGCCTACAAACGTTACTTCAGCGCTCATCAAGGTTCGGCGTTAGTCGTCCATATTACGGAGACAGATTTAAGTTCGTTTCCCGGAGTTGTTTAATTGTCATTGAAAGGTCTCGGCGAAGTCAGACTGCAATTATCTCCACCCCTCGATGCAGGCTGAATCCTCCTCGGTTGCATCGAACAAAAATAAACATTCTTTGTTCTAACTTTGGACTATTCTGTCCACCTAAATAGCACAACTTGCTACCGCGTTACAGGCCAGACGATATCCTGGCTACGCTGATCATACCTGAACTACTGGCCATGAGAAGTGTTGGCGGATAGGCTAGTTACAAGGTTAGAATAGTCAGCACTCGCATAGGTGCGTGAACCGTTGTGTCGAGCGTTTTCACTCTCGATTCAATTAGCTGCAATCGTTTCCCTCGTGAGCTGGGTTCACGTCATCTCGTACATAATACTAAATAGCCTGACACTTAGCACTGCACGCTTCGGCATGTGCTTTACACCTTCAAAGTGCATGGTGTTGTTGCAGGACGGCCGATACGCCACCGGCTTCAGCTATCAGCGAACAGCCCCTGGCGATAGTGGATCGGTTCACTTACCCTGCTAGCTCTGTCATCTCTGGTGATCACATCACTGGAGGCTACTTCGCGTATCATCAAGGTCCGTGTAGCCTCCCAGAGGCTCAACGCTCTATGGAAACGGCGGGTATCAGCTTTTCAGTGAAAAGTAGGGTTCATAACGCTACGATACGGCCAGTGCTACTATATGGATTAGAGACGTGTACAGTTCGCAGTGAGGACAGTAGACGCTTGACTGTGTTTGACACCCGATGCTTGCGGGGACACCGCGTGAACAATGCTGAGGTCCGCCGCTTGGTTTTTGGCCAGAATCCTTCCTATGGCTCACTCGAATTTTTGCTAAATCTTAACCGCTTACGTTGGCTAAACCATGTTCTCCGGCTTCCTCAGCGTGCATTGCACGCCGTGGCCGCACCAACTTGGGTGAAACCGCAAGGTGGCTAGTCCGTGACGTAGAGAGGCATAGAGGCATAAGGAAACTGCCCAGGAAACTTGATCAGGCTGTTACATGCCGCCTTCGTGAATGGGAGCCTCGGGATGGTCCACATTAGTGGTTGGCGACCGTGTCAGACATGGCGCGGTCATTTCTCACAACCGACACCAGTGGCGCGTCTGCTGACGTCTCCTAGTCAGACTGCCTGTTTAAAGTGTGTTTGATGCTGAGTTATCTGCGGGGTAATGGCTGATTATGACGCGGAGCAGTGAAAGCCGCAAGGAAGCTGTCTGGCCGATGCCGCCTTATCTTTGCACGATAGCGAGCTGTTTGTGACAGTGTTGTCTAACAACGTGTAGGCGCCTTGACCCTGAGTGTTTGTTTAGGGCATTAAGGTTTTCATATAAGTTCCCCTTCTCTCCCTCTTATTATTCATTGTTCCTTAGGTCCTCATGCTTGTATGGCAGCGAAGCATCAGTTTAAATGACTGATGTACTGTTGTTGTTGATGTTCGCAGTCAGTCAGTGGCGTACCTGCGTTCTCTTTCTTGTGCATGTTTATTTTCATTCCATCCAGATTAGTCTAACGCGCTTTCTTCTTGATTTCCTTTTTCATGCATCTACTCCCATTCAACTTCATTTTCTTGTTTTTTATTTTCTTGTTATTCTAGTGTGTGAGTCGTGGCAGCTAGATCCACCGCACTTTGGTTCTCGGTTCATAGTTTCTCGACTTTGCTGAACTGATCTTGCACCCATAATCTGGAAGATTGACGGGACACAGTATACCACTCGATTGATTTATTAGAAGACAGTTGTTTCGTCTGCTGAAGAATCACCTACGATCGTGTCATTAATTTCCACTTTCTCTGTTTTTTTTACTAACTTAATCCTTCTTGGTCTCCGGGATAAATACATAGTTGTTTCCATCACACGGTTACTTTGCTCATCATTGGTTATTTGCTTACACATCAAGTGTAATTCATGAACACTTGTTTTCACCCGGTAATGTTTCATCATTAGTCTCTGTTTGACTTAGGTTTTCTAAAGAGTGCTGTATCTTTTATTTATGTATTGCTTGAGTTTGTGTAGAATTGTGAGTGGTGTTTTATTATTTTCTTGCAAACCTTAGTGCCGTGGATGCATGGACCTGGCATTTTACAGGTATCTTATTATTTCTTCTGATATATTCAAACTTATTCGCTTTCCTCAATGACCAGTACGATATGGTCATGTTTGCGGGAAATCGTGTACACAGCGTGCCGGACAAATCAGTGTTAGGATGTGCTTCGCTTACCCAGGTGATCACCGAGGAGATTTGCGCGAGTAACATTGCGTTCCCTTATGTGAGTGCTTGATCTGTGCCGATCAGTCCTTAGCTAAGCGCTGTGTTTTAATGATCATTTACCCCACTGATTGTGAAGACCGTCTATTCTCAGGTGTCATATTTGACGTTTTTATTCCTGATCAACAATCTTTTACGGATTAATTTTTGGTCTTTTCTACCTTCCTTCTGAAAATCGCTCCAATCACCGCATACTCGCTCGAACTCGAAAGCTGAACTTCATGGGAATTGGCTAAATGCACCCATCATTTGAGAATGAAATCTTGGTTTGGTCGCTTACCTGAGCAATTCAATGGCAGACGTTTCGTCACCAAACGGAGTGACATCATTAGTGCATAATGCTGATGGCAATAGTAGTAGTAGCGTAGTGGTTGTTGTATAGTAGTAGTACTTTCTCAGATTCCTATGCTCATGGAAAATTGGAGCCTTATCTCCTGAAACATTCGAACCCCGCTACCCAGATATTCCGTAACATTAACACTTATAGATTTTACCGCGCTTCGGCACCACATTTCTCTCTGACACTAATGAACATACCCATCATTTTTGTAACATCCCTATGCGAAAGATATGAACAATTTTTAAGCCGTTTTTTGCCAACACTTACCTCTGTCGTTAAAGTACATACGCTTACAGTGTCTCTGCGGCTCTGTCAACCACATGATCATGCATGTACTGGGGTGTCTCGTTTCATTGAGCATAACTTATTTATTTATTCATTTGTAGTATGGTAGTTGTAGCAGTGTAGTACTTGTTGTTGTTGTTGCAAGTGGGGGCGGAGGTGCGCTTCACGCATCAGCATCTCGTTAGTCGACACAACGAGAGACAGACAACTTAGTTTTCAAGGACGATCAATAATGTTACACAAGCTACGCTGGCTTCGGCATGTGCTACGTACACCTGGGCGCCAAGTGCTGTTTTGTTTTCCAGATGCTAGGTGAAAACGCTATAGGTGCGTAAAGTTTGACTTGTCAGCTGAAAATGAAGTCAATGGTGCTGTTGGTCCGTCTCGCTTTCTAAATTGGTGTCCACATGACCCATCACATTATAGGATGTGGCTCCCATTCGGCATCAGTGACAAACTTGTCGCCTTTGAGTCGAATTGCTTTGCTAATTTCTATCGTCTATTAGCCGACTTGCCTGTTTTTAATAGTTTATGATACTGTGTTACCTACGGGTTAATGGCTGATTATGACACGGAGCGGTGAAAACGGTAAGGAAGCTATTTTGCCGATGCCACTTTTCAGCATTGGTCAGCTGTCTGTAACCGTATGTTTTTTGCATGGTGTAGATGTCTTGCCCCTGTGTGTTTGCTTAGGGCATTCAGCTTTTACACTTGACTCTCTTTTTCCCCTCGTATTCTTCGTCATCCCTATGTCGCTGTGGTTGTACGGCTACGAGGCTTCATTCCGAATTACTGATATGCTGTTGTTACTGATTATGACGACTACGTCACTTGGTACATTTTCGGGGATGCTTCAGTGGCTGCTTTTGCTTTGTTTCTATGGCTATTGCCTTCTTCTGTCCCAGGCTAACTTATCTCACCCATACTAGCCAGTTACTTTGTGTTTTCAGTCCTACGGTGACCCGTACAAATGGTGACTTTTCGCCTCAGCAAACAAGGCTGGTGTGTCATCTTCATTTTGGTCGCCGTATTTGTCCTATACTATCTTTCTGGATCGAGCTATGTGGGTCGTTTACAAGGAGATGTGATCAGCATTCGAACTTTATTGACACAAAGCATCTATCTGTCTGAAGACGCCGGATACTTCATCGCCTCAACCTATTCGCCATCTTCTTTGGAAACTCGAGCCAAAGCTTCAGCTGGTGGGCTAATAAAGGAATTGCTCACGAATATGGATCTGGCGTCCCACTCTGTGATAGTCTCAGGACTTTCAAAATTTTTTCCAACAGTTCGGGTAAATTGAGGCAAACAGTCCTTTTCCTGCATTCATTTTGTTATGATCATATTTGTATCTCATAATCACATATGCCTATGTTGATGCTGCACTCAGTTGGGACTCGCCAGAGCCGCAGTTGGTGTTTTGTTTACATTCGATGACTCAAATAATGATTCATCACTTCACATCCACTGTTTTTGACCTGTTTGTTTTGCGAACTTGGCTCTCTTTGATCTCGGTTTCATTTTCCTCTCCACTTTGATAGCTGTCATCGCATTCAGAATGACCCGCGTTGTACAGGTTACTTCCCCTCTAACGTCGGTTCTAATGTTTTGACACTATACTGTCCTTCAGATATAGTACAACTCTTTGACTTCCAGTGTTACATCATACAGATGCACATGGTGGAATATATAGCAAGCAGCAGAAGCATGTGCTGGTGATTGACTTTCGTTTTGATCATTTTTGTGGCCGCATCAAACTGAGTAGGCTAATACACAACTCGCCATGTTCTTTCATTTGCCCCATGCTGAGGCCGATGTTGGATTCATGATGCTCCCCCACCACAGTTGGGCTAAACTGGAGTTTTTAAACCACGAATATTCATTCCAGATGGCAGATGAACTGTTCGCTGAGCTTGGCAATTTTGTCGCAAACCTTTCGTCACCAATCGAGGTGACATCATCCGTGCGTAGTTGAGTGGTGTGCAGCAGCGTAGAGGAGCCTCGGTGAGAATACGCTGAGCGTGGTGTACGTGCGTTTTGATACCGCCATGGTTGCTCGTGGAGACGAGCAATCCTATTGGTTGGGACTTCGATCCGCGTTCGGCTTGGTTGATGAGCAGATAACCTTTGACCTTGACCCCTTTTCGTGGCCTTTGTCTGCTTGCTCTTGTGAGAGAGTCTGTCGTCAGTTCTGGTTGCCTAGTCACACGTTCCACCGGATTCAATCGATCGAGTTGGCGGTCATTCGCCAGTGCCTGATACTCTACAACGAATTCGATCAATCGAGACATCGAACTGGACGCAGTGTACGCAACACTACTGGCGAATGACCGCCAACTCGATCGATTGAATCCGGTGGAACGTGTGACTAGGCAACCAGAACTGACGACAGACTCTCTCACAAGAGCAAGCAGACAAAGGCCACGAAAAGGGGTCAAGGTCAAAGGTTATCTGCTCATCAACCAAGCCGAACGCGGATCGAAGTCCCAACCAATAGGATTGCTCGTCTCCACGAGCAACCATGGCGGTATCAAAACGCGCGTACACCACTCTCAGCGTATTCTCACCGAGGCTCCTCTACGCTGCTGCATACCACACAACTACGCACGGATAATGTCACCTCGATTGGTGACGAAAGGTTTGCGACAAAATTGCCAAGCTCAGCGAACAGTTCAACGGCCATCTGGACATCCTGAGCTACCAGTCTTCAATTCTATAGCTAAATTTTATTCCACCTTATTAGGTTTGTTCTGTCTACCTGAATAGTCTTCTATTAACTTGCACGCGATGCTTACGCTAATGGTGGTTATTTGCCTTAACTTTGTTGCGTTTCTGACGATTTTTTGAATAACTTGTAGACAGTTTGTGGATATCCCGGTTTCATCGCTAACCAGCTTCCTGCATATGCTTATTTAGCGAAGAGTTATGTTTGCATAACCGTCTGCTTTAACAGATATTTTATTTGATGTTATTTAATGTATTTGGCTGTTGCTTGATATCCCCAATGTGGCTGCGCTTGATGTGCATGTTGACAATGTACCTACCTGTCCATTACCCACTACCTCATCCATACTGGCTCCAGGAGACAGTTGGTCCTTGCTGGAGGGGACGAGGTGCACGGTCCTTGTGGCCGTGCTAGGCTCAAAGAGCGGTTCCATGCACTCAATGTGGAGCGGACTACGGTCCAGCCACCGCATTGTGCGCTTGATTCCCCAAATACAGTGTGCTTGTGTTTGCCTGTGAAGGAGTGTGGGCCGGCTCCGTTGATGAAATGTGGCTCCCATCCACATGCCTCCCGGTCTTATTCCTTCGGGTTTACACTGGATATGGAATATGTGGACGGGGCTATGGGTGGTGCAGCGCAAACCACCCATGGTCCCTCTGTAGGCGCAGACCTTCTGTGACTGGCCACAGTGACAGGCAAATACGAAACCGGATGCCGCCAGCCATGTCCCTTCATATTTACGGTGCCGATCTCGAACGACTGTTTTCTCACAGTCATCAAAAATCAATTCCAGTGTGTTCTCTACGCACATGAACATTTTAGTGATATGCGGTCAAACGGACACACCTAGGGCAGTGTTTGGAGCATTAACGAAGCTTATTACAGCCACCAGTTTCCCTTTAGTCTTTGTAGGCGAGGAATATTTAGATCGAAGTTATGCTCAAAGTTGTGTAGAGCCCACTGGTGTGTCTGTGTCTAATGTCAGACTGCTCTGTTCTGTGGTGTTTCAGGGATATGACCTTTTTTTGCAGACGTAACGCTGTTTGTCATTATGTTCATCATCCTACCATTTTGTAGCGCAAATTCACGCAGGCGACAAAACCCAACTCTCATTTTCTCTGCTTTGGTTGTTACAATTGCATTCAAGTGGGCGGCACTCTCATTATCAGCTGCAATAGACTGTTGAGCATGGTCCCATCATTCGAGTGGATTATAACCCAATTACTTTCAGCTCCCGTTCAAAGCCAGTTACTGTCAGTCACTGGTCGCTCTCCGTTTGTGCTTTTCCCACCTTCAATGTGTTAAGCTGCTCAAATTATTTGTCCTCCACACACAGGTTATTTCAGAGGAGCATCCCCCATCTACCTCACCGTTTTTTAATCATGCTGGCGATCCATTTCACTCCAGTTTTGAAAAAGAGCTTTCAGATAGCGACTTTTTTGTGCCTGCATCCGATCTCACCGTTTGGGTTGACCCACTGGATGCCACACAAGAACTAACGGGTGAGTATTTTCTCTTATCTTCACTGATTTCCATAGACCTCGAGATGCATTCCAAGCTTGCAAATTTTCCGCTCATAAAAAGAAAGATCCATATTAACCTGACTGTTATAATTGGGCCTTGCATATTTGCTAAACAAAGGTCACATTGCCGTAGCTCCTTTACCCAATGTTGTCCTCTTCATGATTCCAGAAGGACTACTGGAATATGTGACGGTAATGATTTGTATCACGCTTCGTGGACATCCCATCGCTGGTGTCATTCATCAACCATTCACCCACCGAACATGTGAGTCACGTCACTACTGCATTTCCTGATCTGTTTGACTGTGCACATTCTGTCATCACCTGGATGACTACTGTTCAATCTTGACTGAAGTATGTGGTCCATGGGGTCTGCGATTTTCCCTCTGAAGAGGACCCAACATGTTATACCCACTGAGCCTTGATTTAAACTGCACTTGCTTTGCATTGTTTCCTTATATCTGTGGAATCTCAGTGACATTTATCTACCATTGTCGAACCGTTTAATGCTGTCAATCACCTTGTTCTTGTTTTAGCTGGATCGACAACATCGCTCATTCCTACTACTTATGTGCTGTTCAATTCAGCTGCTTATCTATGCTCTGTATAACGGATTTCAGTTCATCTATTTTCTTGATTTGCGTCGTAATGTTATTATTGACTACGTGTTTTAGGGATAAATAAGTCAGTTTTAAAAGTGCCTGGAAAATATTGGTCGTCTATGCTGTGTTATGCACGAAATCGTAGCGTCTCCTTGGATGGATAATCTGCGGTCACATATTATAGCGGTGTTATAGGGTGACCACCCTTTTGGCCAATTGAATAACATAACTTATTTCATCGCATATTCTGTCACGACGCTTTGTTGTTTATCTATGATTCATATTCCGATGAGGTGTGAACATCTGCTTTGACTCTAAAAATGTTTCGGAACACCTGCTGGCTTGGGTTGACGATTCAGTTGCTTATTTGTTCATCGAGCTTGGCAATTTAGTTGCAAATTTTTCGCCACCATGTGAGGTGACATCCTCAGTGCTGTGATGTGCAGGATGAGAACCCTACTCGTTCTCCTGTTTAGGCCTGGGCAATCTGACAGGATCCTGCCCACGCAATACAACGTACCTTTCCTCTAACAATTTCTTGATGCTCTGGCCGTCGCAGAGTATAATCAACGGCGCCCTATCTGCTGCATCGAGCAGGGTGGATAGGGGTATGAATGCTACTGATCAAGCCTTCCCGTCTTCTTATTCCCCTCTTACGCTTTTACATCCTTATCTTCCCGCTCCAACTTTACTTTTATCCCCCATTTTCAATCCCCCAATTCTTGGCCCTCCCCCAGCTTGCTTCAATAGTCGCTTGTCTTCTAGTTTCAACTCACACACAGTCGCAGGGCGTCGCTCCAATCCACTTGACAAGTCCATGTTCAACCATGCGGACAACGTCAGTTCATCCGTTTCTCTTTGGAGTCCTCGATCTTCGCTAAGACTGGCATGCCTCAACGTGCGCACTTTGCTACAGATTAGCCAACAGGCAGCACTTGCCCGCGCACTAGAGACCCTATCGATCGATATTTGCTGTTTATCAGAAACCCGCTTGCAAGATGTGCGCTCCGTGATTACCCTGCGATCCCCCACATGCGACACTGGCGGCACATTCTCATTGCGCCTGTCTGGCGCTGATGCAGCTTCAAATACCGGTCAAGCTGGCGTCGGCATTGTTTTGAGTCCCCGGGATGAAGCTGCCCTGATCGATTGGATCCTAGTCAACAGTCGGATGTGCGCCGTTAGCTGGTTCGTTCCATGCTACGAAGTCGCGCGTTTGACAAAGGGTGCATGTTTATTATTGCAGCCTACGCCCATACAAACTGTAGCACTGATTCGGTAAAAGATGATTTCTAGCAGCAACTTCACGATCTCCTTCGTTACAGAAGAAGCACGGATACTGTGGTGTTGACTGGCGATCTTAACGCCCAAGTCGGAAAATTGTCATATGATAAGGTTCCTTTGGGCGGCCAACATGGTGTAGGCTCCCGTAATGATAACGAGTGATTGCTACAGCTGTGTGAAGATGCTCGTCTCTTTCTCGCGAGCACTAACTTTCGACACAGCACCCACCGAAGCGTGAGTTGGCGGCCACCAGGCTCGTGCCAGCCATGGACGCAAATCGACCATATCGCGATCAGTTACCGCTGCAGAGGATGTGTCCAAAACTGTCGCTCGATTTGGAGCACAAGCGTGGACTCTGACCACACCTGTTTGTACCGACCTCCAAGTGCGTTTCGGTGGACATCTGCAACATCGATGTGAACGGATTGACACCAGCCAACTGGCGAAGCTATGTGTTCTAAATGTGTATCAAAGTGCGCTGATACCTGGGCTGAGTAATCGCCCACTGAACACCATCGAAGATCACTGATAACATATTCGTCAAACCTTACTATCAGCAGGCCTGTCTTCATGTGGCAAATCAAATTGCCAAACTGAACATTGGGTCTCTACACAGTCTCTGGAATTTATGGATACTCGCCGACGTATTCCGGCTGGAAGTGAATACAGTGAGGCTCGCAAAAATCTCAGGGCAAAACTATGTGCTAGCCTGAAGAAAGACCGCGAAGCCTGGTGGTCTCATCGTGCCTCTGAGATGGAAACAGCCGCTGCCATTGGTAATCATCGTAAGTTATTCCGTCTGGTACGGGAACCAGGTAGCAGGAGACCTGGTGTTAGCTGACCATACGCGACGAGAGTGGGCAGCCGATCCACAGCCTGTCAAAACTCTTGGAGCGTTGGGCCGAACACTTTGCAAGGCAATTTAACCAACCTGAGTTATCGGTTTCTTTTTCGGGCATTGAGCACCCTTCTCCCTGGGCCGTCTCCTTGGATCCGCCCTCACGCCCAGAAGTCGAACATGAGATCAAGCTGTTGAAATTGCATAAGGCCGCAGGGTCCGATAGAATTTCCCAAGCTCTCTTCAAATTCGGGGGACTTGCTCTTATAGATGATTTACACGAGTTGCTGATGAAACTGGGAGCAGGAGACTGTCCCGACAGACTGGAGCGGCTCCGTCAGTGTTCTAATATTCAAGGGAGGCGCCCGTTCGGAATGCGGAAATCATAGAGGGATCAGTTGCCACTAAATTGCTTGTGTGTGTCATTCTCCACAGATTGATTGGCACTCGTGAAAGCCAGATTCGTGAAGAGCAAGCCGGGTTTGGTCGAGATCGGGGCTGCATCGACCACATCTTCACTTAGCGTCAGTTGTTGGAGCACCGCCATGTTTATTGGCGACCAGCCTTTGTCATGTTTCTTGACATAAAAGGTGCCTTCAACTTAGTCGATCGACGTACCCTTTGAGATTGTCTGCTGGGGAAAGGTATTCCTGATAAGTGGGTAAATATTATCAAAGCGCTGTACGCGCATAGTACGGGAAGAGTGAGAGTTTATGGCAGACTGTTTCTCGCTGTCACCTTTCCTCTTTAATTCCGCTATTGATGAAGTCATGGAAACAGCGTTCGCTGGACACGACCTAGAAGGTGTGGAGCTACTTCCTGGTGAGCGACATCTTGACTTGGAGTACGTGGACGATATTTTCTCTGTGACAGCTCACAAACATACCAAACAGCACTGGACCGATTAGCACTGGCTGTCTATCGTTTTGGGCTATACTTTGCCCCATCGAAATGCAAAGTACTTCTCCAAGATTGGCAAGGACCCAACCCTGCGATAACGCTTGGTGGTGATCTGCTAGAAGCCGTTCAGGAATTCAAGTACCTGGGCAGCTATGTTAGCGCCCGTGGGATTGAAGATGAGGTTACCAACCGTATAGCAAAAGCTCGAGGTGCTTTTGCCAATCTCCGCCACCTGTGGCGCAGACGCGACATTAATCTCGCCCTGAAGGGCAGAGTTTATAACGCAGCCATCCGTTCAACTCTCCTATATAGTTGTGAAACCTGGCCCATCAGATCGGCAGACATAAAGAGGCTCGTCATGTTCGATCGTCGCTGCTTTCACAGATTAGCTCATATCTGGTGGGAGCACCGCGTGAGCAATGAGCGTGTTCGGCGTCGCGTATTTGGTGCAGTAAGAGCGAGTGAACCGCTTAGCACCATTATATCACGCACCAGGCTCCGATTGCTGGGCCACGTGTTGCGCATACCAGCACACCGACTTCCGCGATGTGCATTGTTTACGCGTTGTGGGTGGGGTTAGAAGAGGAGGAGGGGAGGCCAAGCGATGACTTGGTCGAAAGAGATGAAAACCCTCACTTCGAAGTTGTCGTCGGTTGGTGCATCCTGACTGCCTGACTGGGGTCCTAAGGGCGGTGAACACGTTTGGTTGGGCACACTTGCTGATTTGGCTAGGAGCCGGCCCCAATGGCGTTTGTGTTGTGAGTTCCTTTGTGCACCCCCTCCAATCACGATTTTATTCGCAAGACATAATAGTGCTCTTTTTACTACACGATAGCCGGCCATTAGCTCTCCGAAGTTATGTCCATCCGTTACTCGGGACTCAGCCGGCTTGCCACTGTTTTTTTCTTCTTGTCCTTTGTATTGCGGCACAATAGCTGAGGAGTTTCCCACCTGCAGCTAGCGTGTATAATGCTGCTGGTGCTGATGATGTGTACGATGTAATCTTGAAATCAGTACTATTGGCGAAACGCTTGCAGCTAAATTTACTAGCTTGGCGAACAAATGGACAACTGTACTGACTCTTTACTCTAATAAATCACCCTTTAAAGGGTGACTATTGGTTGATTCCGAGGTCCTCATCCAGGTGGACGACGCGGACCAACGAAATTAAGCTTTTTGACCAGTTCCGTTTTGTTCCTTTACACCTTCATCACCTGACCTTTTTATTGCTTCACCTAACAACACACACTATTGACAAACAGTTGGCAGACATTGGAGGGACATAACCCGATTGGCGTATGCGGTTGGAGGTTAACACATCAGATGTTTCCAAACACCAAACGGCGAGCTCTCCTATTTCTCATTCTGTACTCCCCAGGCACCGATGGTCAGACACGGCCAGTCCCTTGATGCCTTTGGCACATACCAAGTCTTTGATCAAGATACTAACACGGACCACAATACGATATCACACATCTTAAAGTAAAGAAATGTCAGCTCTTTATAAATCACGAAGCCCCTTTCTGGATAGTGGCTGTTGGATTTGATGTAGATTCCCACCTAAATAGACTCATTCAACACTTCGGCTAATGGTTCGGTGATAGTGAGGGTTGGAGATGTATTGTTCCATCCCCATATCTG